CCGCGCGAGCCAGGCCTGGCCAATCCGGGCCGCCGTAGGCCGAGTCGCCATGGCGACGCCTGGACGCCGCGAAGCTTCACCGTGGGCGACGCAGCATAGCTTCTTGGACTAGGATGCCTGTGGGAGTGGCCGCAGTCCGCGCTGGGGACTTGGACGGCTTGCTCCTGTTTTGCTGAGGTCTTGTGGACTATTTATTACATGGAATGGTTTGCCTTTCACTGAATAAGACAAATCCTTTTTAAAAAATGGGTTAGAGACAGAAGCCAAGAGTCCCCACACCCGCCCATCTAGGGTTACCAGCGCTTATGATTTCTCTGAGCGCAAGGCTGTATTTGCTGGGAGAGTGGCCAGAACGTCATCCAAGGTTAGAAGTGCATGCGCCTAGGTCACACCTCATCTTTCTGGCATTTTAAGGGAGCTGCTCTGTCTAAGCGTGAGAGTTGGGGGGCCTCCTTCAAGGTCCTAGTATGTGCTAAGCTCACGGGTGGACGATGCTCTTATATTCTTCATCCTTTTGTGGTAAGAAAGAAAATCATGCAAATATGCAGTGATACGCATTTTATGAGTAAAGAAAAACGTTTGTGGGATCATGGGGCGCTTTTAGGAATTGGGAAGGGAATAAAGATAACAAGGGAGAGGTGACAGATGAAACTGGATGCTTTCTCCATGTTGAGAAAACTGCATACACTTCTGTACAAATAGGGCTTTTGTCCAGTTCGTGATGCCTACTGCCAGTAGAAACATGGAGAAGTGAATATGGGTGTTGTATAGACAGCTCAGGTAAATGGAAATATTGTAGGCAGTCAGACAGGGCTGGGCCCTTGCACACAGGAAGCTGTATCTGGAGGTGCATCTGAAGATGAAGGTCACAATGGCCAGATGTGCATGCTTCCCGAAGGCATGAGCAGAAGCTGGGGATTAATGGTGCCACACAGACCATTATAGACAGTGGGCCGTCCTCACTAAGCACCCACTAAGACCACTGAACTGAGAGAACTACAGACTATCGATCAAGACTAATGATGTCATCCATAGGCCCTTCTTACTGTTGGGTCAGTATTACCGACATTGTACCCCCCTCCCTCGTACCAGGGATCGAACTCAGGACCTGGCACTTGCCAGGCAGGCAAGGCACCACTGAGGTTAATCCCTGGAGACTTTGCTCTATAAAACATCCTTTGAGAAGTGGGCTCCTTGGCAACTCATTCAGGGCCTCTCCTGTCTCTTACCCCCCACTCTCGTTCCTCAATAAACGTCCTACTCTTAACCTCCATTGCAGTGGCTAAAGCGGCACACAAAGCTTATTACTGGCCAAAGAGTGATACAGACTCTTTGATGAAGTCTAGATCTGCCAAATCTGGCCTAGGACGATTAGGTGCGGTAGAAAAAACACCAACCAAAGAGGATTCAGAGGCAGAGGCTGCAATGAAGTAAGGTGGCCCCTGTTGCCCCAGGAGTACGACCGACACCGAGGCGTACTATGCTCGGCCCTGGGTTCAATCCTCAGCACCAGAGAGGGAAAAAGATGCCTAAGAACTACTTCAACAGAGTAGTTTATTACAATTTCAGTAAAAACACAGCGGAAATGGGGGGAAACTGGAGCGATCCAACAGCACTAAAACCGATCAAAGAAAACTGAGTCGTTTTTCATTCTACCTGTTACTTGGCATGGAGGAACCTGGTTAGGACGTTTCATCTGAACACATGTCTAGGGTCATGCCAACATCGGAAGGCCCTGGGCGGCTCTGAGGCTTCACTCAGAGAGAAGTTTGCCACAGGGCTTGCTGGTGCATGTCTTGCTCTCAGCACTCAGAGGCTGAGGCAGGAGAATCGGAAATTCGAACCCATATGGGGCACTTGAGACCCTGTCTCAAAATGTAAAATAAATTGCTGGGGATTTACTCAGTGCAAAGCCCTGAGGATTTGATCCCTAGTAGAAAAAACAAAAACAACAACAACAAAAAAACAAAACAAAAACCCAAAAATACACTTTCAATCAATACAACCTAAGGGAAATGCAGCAGAAAAACAGACTGTAGCATAACCAGACTTGGGTTTGGGTCGGGGGTTTTATTTGATAAATTTCCCCAAAGAAGCTGTTTGACCCTTTCCAAGCTTCCCCCCTCTAAAACTGGAAAGTAATCTGCCTCAGCCACGTTACTGCATTAATCCTCATAGCTTCCAGCTCCAGACCTGATGATGGGGGTAAACTGAGTCACTTTCCATTCTAAAACTTTCCCACTTTAACACCTTGGATCTAAAATGTCCGACTTCCTTTCCTCAGATAGGTTAGCGGCAACCCACAGCCCTCCTGCCTCAGCCTCCCTACTGCAGGGTCTGTATCTCAGGTGTGTGCCGCCATGCTGGGCTCATGCAGGTTTTAATCATTTGGTTTTAAAGAAAGATCTAATCTGGGCCAGGGATTTAGCTCAGTGGTTCTGCTGCCTGCCTCACAAGGGCAAGGTCCAGACTTCAACCCCGATACCCGGCAAAGGAAAGGGCTTCATTGATGGTATTAGCTTCAATTTCACAATCTGTTTTCCGTGGTGTGGTCCAGACTTAGGCTAAAACTTCTAAAATTTCAAAAAAGTGTTCTTATGTGTTTATAGATGAGTATGAAAGTAGCATTTTCTAATGGTCGTTTCCAACATTTCTTCTAATAGTCTTTGCAATTTTAATCTGACTACAGAGTACGAAGTAAACTCATTGATATACCTAGTTCTAAATTAAGGCAACATAGATTGCTTTCTAGAAACTTTAACAATTCCAGACACCGAGTGCAGTATCGTCCATCACACCGTATGTGTGGCAGTTTTCCATGCACTTCATGTATCTCACTATACTATTTTTAGATGCACGAAATCAAAAGTTTCCAGTAACTTGAAATGTTAGGGAAAACAACTTTTAATTATGATTTTCTTACCAAGTTACGATTTCATATTTATCATATGTGTAAATATACAAACATGATAGATTTTTAAAACTTGTAAATAGATGTCCTTACAAAATTACACTGTAAATAAACCCCTCCCACATTTTATACAAGCTGCATTATTTCGATATACAAAGATTGTTTTAATTACACTGACATGTACAACCGAGACTATTTACAATGCAAAAAAGCCTATCAGCCACGATTTAACACCCTGCTGTGGCAGCCACTCTAGTTGAGGAGGTAGCTTTCAGGAAACGAAATGAACAGAGACCATATTTCCCAACTTGTGTCCTAAAAATAATTTACAGAAGATAAAAATTCATTCTATGCACAGTATGTACAGTTTCTGTATTAAACTGCAATCCAGCATCAAAGCTTTAAAAACCCAGGGTGACGGATGTGGCAGTGGGCTTGCCAGGGACTCAGCATGCCGTCTGAAGACATGCCAAGGAATTACAACTGTACGACTCCACGTAGTAACAGCCAAAGCCCATAAATGAGAATCAAGTAAAATTTTTCATCTTCGAAGACACAGAACTAAACTTTTCCCCTTCCACCCATCCCATGATGTATCTGTCTGACCAGAGCCCAGCACCTGATAACTGGGGATGTTCTGGTTTTTTTGTGTCTGTTTTGAGACAAGGTTTCGCTGTGTAGCCCAGGCTGACCTGGAACTCAGAGCAATCCTCCTGCCTCAGCCTCCCAAGTACTGGGATTGTGGGTGTGCACACCAAGCCCAGCAGCATCTGCAGATTAAATGGGCGTTTTTTGGAAATCAAAGTAAGGGGGGAAAACGTGAGGAAGATTCCACATAACAGTCCAGGTCCAGGAGAAGCCAGCTCATGAAGAAATAAATGCTTCGGAACATAATTATTCCTAGTTTCTTCCAACCACATACACGAAATTACTTACCTCGTCGGACGCTCTGTGTAATTCAAACCCTAAATAGATACCGTAGTAACAAAGCCGGACAAGATCGGCACTAACACCAGTACTAGGGTGTACTGTGAATGGGAAAAGAACCACAGCGCCAGACCTGCCCGGCGCTATTAAAAATCTGCCTTTCAGTTTCTCCAAATCTGCGGGCTCACACTGCGATCTCAGCCACTTTTTCCTCAGGAAATTACAGCGATCCAAGTACAGCGACCAAAAACAAATGTTGTGCCAGTAAAACGCCTAACAGCTGTTGATAACGCTTTCCAAACACGCTCAGGTCCGAATCTGACCCCGAGATGGAAATGCACCGCAGGTCGCCCCGTCTGTGCGCTCCCCGCGGCCATCGCCGTCCTGAGACTCACCGTGACGCTTCACGCACAACCAGCGAGACTTTATTTCAGGTACACAAAGCTCTATTTTCACATCGTTTTTAGGCTGGGGTGGCAACACACGCCTGTCATCCCAGAGGCTGAGGCAGGGGTGGGGTGGCCTGAGATGTCCAGGCCGGTGTGGGCTGCGTAGCAGAGTTCAAGGCCAGCCCGGACTACACAGGAGACCCCGGCTCGCCCGCTGCGCCCCAAAACGACAACTTTCAAGGCGGTGAGCAGCTCCTCCTCCCCGCACGCGGGCTTCACCCTGAAACACCGTCAGCGTGCTCCACGGTGATCGGGAGACCCCTGCGGCGCTCCCGGGACCGAAGAGCCCCTTTTGAGCGGCGTCG